ATTTCGTCTTTATCTCTAGTGGTGCCAATCTATTTCCGTCCAATACAACATATTATCTTGTAGTGGGCCAATCTAGATACCTTTCGGTTCTTTCTATCATTGTGTTTTCTGGACATTTACATATTCCTACCTTTTGCTCATGATGAATTCATTTTTCTATTTAAAAAACCTAATTAACCACTTTTATAATTTGTTGGGTATCAAAGATAAAGAAGTTCATTAACAAAAATATTAAATACTAGAAGCTCTAGCAAACACAAAAATAATGCGTAAGGAAAGGGGGAAAAAAACAAGAAAAAATGAATATGATTCTCTATTAATGTTCTTGATGATCTCAATAGCCAATCCAGCGGATATAAGTGAGATAAAACAAAAACTCTACACTTAGCCAGGCAACAATGATATCCACTACTAATAGAAAAGAAAAAGATGTATCTTACCATGTGGATGATTGAATATATACGAAATGGGCAACAATTTGTGGGAAATTCTTACCAGAAGCTATCTAAAGGATTATATATGGGTCCTTTTCATATTTTGGATCACATTGGTCCTATGGCATATCTCCTTCAACTTCCAAAATATGCCCGCATTCATTATGTTTCCATTGTTTCTTTCCGAATCTATAAGAAAATGAGATTTTTCTAAAGTTGTACTTTGTGGAAAATTTGGAAAACTCAGTTGTGAAGTTTTGTAAAACTTTTTTTATTATAAGATTTGGGGGAAAAGTAGGCTTATATCTCTCTTATAAATAGGAGAGAAATCTATTGTAGAAATACAACCCAGAACACTCGTATATTGCACACTCTTTGTCTCTCCCTTTTTCCTTAGTGCAGAAAAAAATCTCTATTTTTGTTTCTTTTTTTTTTCCAATTTTTATGTTTGTTATTGATTTTACAACATGGTATCAAGAGTTCATTGATTTTCAAGGGCTTATAAAAGAGTGAAAACCAGTAAGAATGTAAAAAAATAAAAATACCTCTACGAAATTTTTTTACCCCGACCTTCTAGTTTTTAAGGAGAAAATTATGATTTGTTGGCTACAAAAATGAGAACTTATTTGAGAGCTCAAATAGTGTGGAAAGTAGTGGAAAATGAAAATAATACATGAACGTTTTTATCAAGATATTAAATCTTGAGAAAAAAAGATGTTATTGAGAAAATAATTTGAAGCAATCAAAATGAAGGAGTCTAAAACAATTTTCTTACATACTTGTGGTTACTCAAATAAGATTTCTAGACAAAGTATCTATATCGCGAGGTGAAAATGCCGAGTGGTATTGGATGATAAAGGTGTTTCACTAGGCAAGAAAGATGTTTTATTGGATGAATAGCTTGTTTCAGTTTTGAATTTCAAAGTTATTTTTATTTTTGGATCCGATGTCTTTAGACTTTTCTTTGGAGTTTCTTAAGTGGCTTAAATATTTGTGCTTATATATAGGGGTACCAAATACATTTGTAAACCTTGGTTGGTCAATATATGAATTTTGAATTTAGTAAGAGAGAATTCTCTTGATTCTTGTTATTGAACTTTGATTCTTATCAAAGATAGAATTCTTTGTGGCTCATCAATCTACTAGATTATAACATCCCTCTATCCTGGCTCTTATCAAAGACAAAAATCTTTGTGGTGAATCTTTATGAACTCATCAATCTGCTAGATTGTAACGTTCCATCTTTGTCTTAATTCTATGTTCTTATTTATTTTTGTTTGTGTCTCTTAAGGATTCAATTCAGAAGCGGTCATACTATCTTTTTAGATAGAATCGTATCCCATCTTTGTCTTAATTCTATGTTCTTATTTATTTTTGTTTGTGTCTCTTAAGGATTCAAATTCAGAAGTGGTCATACTCTCTTTTTAGATAGAATCGTATCTTATGGTATCTGAATTGTATCATCTAGTGACTAGAACAAGGTTTCTCGTTTGATATCATCTTCTATATTATTTTTCTATCATATAAAGAAAAAAAATGAATGTTTGTGTTTTGTGCTTTGTTTTGAAATTTTGTTTGGTTAATTGTTCTTAGAATTTTGTAAGTAGTAAAACACCTAAGGTTTTATCTAACTTTGTTGAGTTTTAATTTTTTGTTTTTTTTCGTTTAAATTGTGCATTCCTATATTTGATTCGTCAAAATTATCTATTTTTGTATATTTCTGTTAATTGTAGTATCAATTAACTGTTTACTTTGATTTTGCATAAATTTTAGTGTTTGGAGGACAATCTATTTAGTTTTCTTTGTTTGTGGTTGAATTGCAAAATTGAAAAAATAAAAATAAAGAATAGTGGATCTAAGTCAAAAGGAAACAAATGTATATTGAAAGAAAAAGTAAGGATCTAAGAGCAAAAAAAATTTCATTCAACACAAATTTTTACTGCAATTTTATTGTGGTTTATTGATCTATTGAATAGTAAGAAGCCTTTTTTTGTAGTCTTAGCGTTGTGTCATTTAACTCTTTATGGTAGTCCTATTATTTTATAATTTTATCGTTTTTTTTAATTCCTTAAAGTTTTATATAGAGTTTTGTATGAGTAAAGAAAGGCAAGGGAGTACTTAAAAAAATCCTACAATTTGATACACGAGTAGATTTTTAGTGAAACACTTAAAAGAGTAGTGAGGTTTTAAATATATTTTATTGTCATTTGTTTTACTAACCTTTCTTGCATGATCTAGTAATATTTAGCAATGCAACATGTTTCAACAAAGACATTCTTCTAGGATTGGTTTTACATATGGTTTAATCTATCTTACACTTAGTGTTTGTGTGACCTTGGTGGCAAATGTTAATGAAGTCATGTCACACATAGTGCATCTAAAGCGAAAAAATGTGAGATTAGAAGAAAGCACAAACATGGCAGCAAATCATTGTCAAAGGCCAAAACAAGTACTCTAAGATGTTCCAAATATGAAAGTTATGTCATGAAAACTCATCAATTCTAATCCATGACCAATGAAGACCTCAAGAATTACATGTTATACACTTGAAAAAGAAAGAAGAAAAGACATTGTAAAAATTAAATGTCTTGAAAGAAGAAAGAAATAAGAGAAAGAGAATATAATTATAGAACTAGAATGTATTATCTAATATCCAGATTATATCACTTCCGGTTGCTGCAAATCAAGCTATTTGGCTTAGAAAGATTTTGTTCGATGGGGAATTACAATTTCAAACAATATATCAGTCATTACAATTTCAAAAAATCCTACGACATGGTAGAACAAAGAACTTCAAGATAAATATCATACCATTAAAGAAGGACATCAAGGTAAACATCGTACCATTAAAGAAGCATAGAAATAAAATCGACTTTAAAGTGGTTTTAAACGCAACTCAATCTTACAAAACCAACTTGTAAAGTGAGGTTTGCACTCACTTATATATATAATTTCGTCTTACCACTTGGTTTTGGTCCAATTTTCTGGTTTGGTCCTTGAAGACACTGGTTAAGAGTGTTGGAAACAACTTTGCTCCATTCATCACCTTGAGGACAAGCTGCTTCCCCACTGGAAGAAAATGACAGCAAACTAACCTATGAATCTCGACCCAAGAGGACTAGAAAGAGATCTATACAGTTGAAAGACTACCTCTAATGCACCTGATAGAAAGATCTTTCTTAGACACTTCTAGAATGCTATTGCTATAATTATCTTTCACTAATTTTATTCTCTTCCTATTTTCTTATTATGCTCATAACCAATCATGGGGTTTTTAACTTGCTTATCAACTACTTTTGATTGCTGAATAAAGCAATAGTTATTCGCAAAGCCAATCAGAAAATTTCTTATACAAATTTTCTAATTTTTTTTTAATTTATGCATAAGATAATTTCAATTTAAAAAAAGAAAATCATCTTTTGTTGTTCTTAGTTTATCTTTTAAAAGTATTTATGAAAAAACTCTTGCAACAAGAGGTAGCAGCACAGATCGCCTCTGCAGCTGATTTTTTCTGCGGCAAAAACAACTTAGCCTTTGATCATATTCTCTTCATTACACAAAAGCCAACTCGTGAGCATGTTTACCTTCAGCAGGGTGAAAATTCTCCCTACTTAAGGGCTTCTTCCCATGATCATTACTGATTTCGGTGCTGAGAGACAGAGAGCAAATGAAGATAAGTCAACTTTTGTGGGTCAACAAAAAAAGTTGATAGCAGTGTTGGACAGTGGACAGCAAATGTTCTTTGTCTTGGCGTGGCCACCTTTCAAAACATCATCTAGAAGCTGATGCCTCGGAAGAGAAAAGGGTTGAGGGAGGATTTGGATAAGAAATTTCATAAAATACCGAATCAATAACAGTTGAATGATAATTTCATCTTACCCTACCAAAAATAAAATGCTAGAAAGCATGCATGATAGTACACTATTATGGGATGGCTCGATGTGAATCTCGTTATCTTAATTCCATTTGACGACTATGAACTTTGAATCAATTATTTCTTAATTCTCACTAACTAAAATGGATATTTCTCTCTTCTCTGGATGTTGCTTGACATAATATGCCAAGGGTACAGTTTTCAACGCTAGCTGCGGATAACTGAAGATTTTCATCACAGGAACAAAAAACAAGAGACCTATATTGACTCTTTGGTAAAAAGGACAGGCTCTCAATATATCATAAAATAAATGTCACTTGCTAGTGGATGTTGAAAAAAGTAAGCAAAGGGACCCCGATGAAAAAAGATAACATTGACAAAAACTGATGAATTTTTCCATACTTACCCTTCTTCTGCCTTTCTTCGATTAATTATTCGAGTTTGAAAATAATAAATAATATATCAATCATACTGCAAATCATTATTCTAGTGTTGCATTCTAATTTACAGCAGACAAATACTTTTGAAGATGCTTCAGCGCCTGGGCTTTTGGCCTAAAACGATCCTAACAGCAAAATTCCAAAGCATATCAGTTGCATGCAAAGCTCTTGAACCTTGACTGCAGAAATCCTAAACATATTTATACTGAGATTCATAGTATCATTACACCTTTGCTGTAGGGGCTATAGTGTCACAATGCATAAGGCATAATTAAATTAAATCCTACCGAAATATGAGTCAATTGTTCCACCAATAGACATCAAAAGCAGAAAGTGTTATCGACAAACTTTACCTACGGCGGTGTTTGAATTCAACTAGAGGGAGAAAGCCGTGGAAAAATTGGGTGACTGGCATAAGGTTCACTCTATTTTAGGAATAGAAAATATCAAACCATATGAGTTCTGTCAAATGGTGAACAGCAAGAGAAAGACCAGAAGGATAGTTATCCTTAACTGGTCCACCAGTTTCATGCTGTCTGTCTTCCTCTTCTGCTCATTGCTTTTCACTTCTAGTTTTAAGCATTGCTCAGCCACAGATGCTATAACCATTAACAAATTCTTGCAAGATGGGGGAGGGGATACTCTAATTTCAAAAGGAGTAAAGTTTGAGCTGGGATTTTTCACTCCTAATGGCAGCTCTAGTGGGAGAAGATATGTGGGCATATGGTACTACAAGTTTACTCCTTTAACAGTTGTGTGGGTTGCTAACCGAGACAAGCCGCTTCTAGATTCTTGGGGTGCTTTTGGCATTGGTGAAGATGGGAATCTAAAGGTTTTGGACAGAAGGGGGAAAGCCTGCTGGGGCACAAAACTTGAAGGATCAGCTTCACAACACAGAACATTGAAGATAATGGACAGTGGGAACCTTATTGTCAGTGATGAAGTTGGAGGCCAAGAGGATCATCAAGTGAAGATTCTGTGGCAGAGTTTTGCTAATCCAACAGATACATTCCTTCCTGGAATGAAAATGGATGGCAATTTAGCACTAACATCATGGAGAAGTTATGAAGACCCTGCAACAGGGAACTTCACTTTTGTGCATTGTCAAGGAGAGAATCAGTTCGTCATATGGAAGAGGTCCATCAAGTATTGGAAAAGCAGTGTTTCAAGTAGGTTTGCAGGAAGCGATGAGATGTCTCCAGCAATATCTTACTTGCTTTCAAATTTCACCCTGAGAGTATCCCCAAACGACACTGTTCCCTTTCTCACTTCAGCACTTTATCGTGACACAAGGTTGGTCATGACACACTGGGGTCAACTTAAGTACATGAAAATGGATTCAGAGAAAGTGTGGTTGTTGGTTTGGGTGGAGCCAAGAGATAGATGCAGTGTGTTCAATGCCTGTGGAAACTTTGGAAGCTGTAATAGCAAGTTTGACTCCATGTGCAAGTGTTTGCCTGGGTACAAGCCTAATTCAATTGAGAGTTGGAATGCTGGAGACTTTTCAGGTGGATGCAGCAGAAAAACAAATGTCTGCAGTGGGGATGCTACGAAAGCTACATTTTTGAGTTTGAAAATGATGAAAGTAGGGAACCCGGATGCTCAATTTAATGCCAATAATGAAGAGGAATGCAAATCAGAGTGTCTAAACAATTGCCAGTGCTATGCATATTCGTATCAAAGCGCCCAAAAGGATGCTGTTTGCTGGATTTGGTATGAGGACTTGAACAATCTTGAAGAAGAGTACGAGGATGGGTGTGACCTGCATGTTCGCGTGGCATTTTCTGATATAGGTATTCGTTTTCATGTCCCTCTTAAACCCATTCAATGTCTTCACTGAAGTTTATATATGTATATACATAAAATAAAATCACCACCTATATACCCATAAATTTTACATTTTCTCTTACATGTATCTAACCTTACAAATTCTGTTCCAATCACCCTTAATATCCAACTGTTTTTTAAATAACCAATAACACTCAAATGCATTGGTTATAAACCTGATTTTGAAGCACTAGCAGAAGGTAAAATCTGTGCAGTGGACTTTGTAATTATGTTCAGTTTGTTACATGTAGAACACAAGTAGTGCTTAGTAAGTAAATCAAAGATATATTATTAAACAGTTTGCAATTAGGCAACTAAATATGTGAATACACTCATCAAATATGTGAATCATGGATCCTGCAGTGGAAGATAGATATTGTGTTACAAATTATTTTTATGAAGTGACAGAGATTGTTCTTCTGCAGAATCCACTGGGAACAGCTGTGGAACTTGTGGTACAAATTTCATTCCATATCCCCTAAGCACAGGACCAAGTTGTGGTGACCCAATGTACTTCAGTTTTCAATGCAACAACTCCTCTGGTGAGCTTGATTTTAAAATTCCAGGGGGAACTTATCAAGTGATTAGCATAAACCCAGACACACGAAAATTCTTGATCCACATAAAAGATGTACTTAACTGTGATCAGATTTCAAGGGATAAGTCTCTGTCTCTCAATCAGTCATTTCCATTTCACCTTACTGGCCATTGTCATGCTGATCCAAGCATTTTTAGTTCTAATGCTCCCATGAAACAAGGAGTAGAGATAGAACTCAGTTGGGAGCCCCCAACTGAGCCTATGTGCTCTTCGTTGTTGGACTGCAAGGATTGGCCAAATTCAACTTGCAACACTACCAGAGATGGCAAGAAGGGATGTCTTTGCAACACAAACTTTATTTGGGATGGATTGAAATTAAACTGCACTCTAGGTAATCTGTTCCCTCTTCGTGTTGATAGATATGCTTCTTTTGTAGTGTGTAATATTTATCCCTCTACATATCATGCATATATATTATACAGAACAACTGATAACTTTGTTTTTCTTCCTAATACTGCCTATACTTTGTTTCAACCCAGCATTACTTGCAACTTTTTCAACTATAAGTACATTATTGATTAACACTTTCATGAAATGTTGTGTCAGCTTTCTTTATGCATAAATGTCAATTTTTTTATACCTTGCAGATGGCAATAATATCTATCAATCAGAAAGGCAACTGTCCTTACCAAAGATCATTGTAATAACTTTTACAACTGTGATTGGTTTAATTCTTCTGTCAACTACTGTTACATGTGTTTACTTGAGGAAGAGGAGACAGAGAAAACCACAAGGTAACTTAATTTTTTGCGCTTATGAAAAAAAAGATCCCAATATTAAAGGTGATACTTCATCAGCAGTAGCCTGCAACTCAGACCCAGTTCATCTGTTTGACTTCAGATAGCAGGGGATATGTTCAGAAAAACTCAGGGATTAACTTGTATGACAGTGACAGATATGTCAGAGAATTAATTGAATCTGGTAGGTTCAAAGAAGAGGATGGGCAGGCCATAGATATTCCATTTTTCAATTTAGAAAGCATACTTGGAGCCACTAACAATTTTGCAAACGCTAACAAGCTTGGACAAGGAGGGTTTGGTCCTGTCTACAAGGTAATCAAGAACTTCTTGACACTTACGGTTTTCTTTTCTAATATCATGATGATAGTAGGAATGGTTAACACTTTTTGTATACTGTCAGGGAAAATTTCCAGGAGGAAAAGAAATAGCGGTGAAGAGACTCTCAAGTTGTTCTGGACAAGGTTTAGAAGAATTTAAAAACGAAGTTGTGTTGATTGCAAAGCTTCAACATAGAAACCTGGTGAGACTTCTGGGGTACTGTGTGGAAGGAGATGAAAAGATGCTGGTATATGAATATATGCCAAATAGAAGCTTGGATGCTTTCATTTTTGGTAAGACTCTTTTTTGCATTTGAAGTACTCTGTCAGCTAAAGCCTTTTTCTTGTAGCCTCAAAATTATATCTTGAAGAAGACTAATATCATATGTTCTGCCCCTAATGGACTACAAGACCAGAAGCTGTGTGTTCAATTAGACTGGGATATGCGCTTCAAGATTATTCTGGGGATTGCTCGAGGGCTCCTTTACTTGCATGAAGATTCTAGGTTGAGGATTATTCATAGGGACTTGAAAACAAGTAACATTCTACTAGATGAAGAGAAGAATCCTAAAATCTCAGACTTTGGCTTAGCCAGAATATTTGGAGGAACAGAGACAGTAGCTAACACAGATAGAGTGGTTGGAACATAGTAAGTAGCTAAACTCAGTAAGTTTCATGTCACAGCATGGTTCAATGCTTTTAAGCATTATAGCAATATTATTACTAAAGTTTGATATCTTTTACTCACATTTTAAAAACAGTAATCTATTTCTGGTCCTTGTATTGGATAGATATGATTCTTGGCTAGGTTAAATGAAAGCACAGACCAGAAACAAAAATACACCATATTTCATAAATACAAGAATCAGAACCATATTTTTCTTACACTTTACCAAATGATTCCCACCCACATTCTTATTTGGTCTACATTTCACAAATTTTGTAATGCAGTGGATATATGTCTCCAGAGTATGCTCTTGATGGACACTTTTCAGTCAAGTCTGACGTCTTTAGCTTTGGTGTGGTGGTACTTGAGATTATCAGTGGAAAAAGGAACACAGGATTTTATCAAGCAGAACATAAATTGAGTCTTCTGGGATATGTAAGTTTTGTGAATGAGTGTTTCTGGTATATGCAACAAACACATATTATTACACTACATAGCTGTTAGCTACTGATACATTTCACTCTTTGATTCACTTTCAGGCATGGCTTTTGTGGAAAGAAGGAAGGGAATTGGAATTCATGGATCAAACACTAAGTCAAACATGCAATGCAGATGAATGCTTGAAATGTTTGAATGTGGGGCTTTTGTGCTTACAAGAAGATCCAGATGAACGTCCTACAATGTCAAATGTGGTTTTCATGCTTGGTAGTGAATCTAACACTCTTCCAAGTCCGAAGGAACCAGCCTTTGTTATCAGAAGATGCCCTTCAAGTAGAGCATCTACTTCGAGTAAACTTGAAACCTTTTCACGTAATGAATTGACAGTCACTATAGAACATGGCAGGTAGAAAATTATCCTTGGCCAAAATATCTTGAACATGTTATTTCTCTACTATTGCTTGTCACTTTCTCATGATCCATTAGTGGGGAAACTTGAAATGGTCAATTAGGAAACTTCTCATGAATTTCATATTTGGATGGAATGAGTCATAATGGCAAATGCTTGTGTGGAATTGAAAAAAGGGCCTAAACAAGTTTGTTTCTTTTGCATTCATTGCTTACTACCAGAAAGAAAGCTCCAAGACAAACAAGACTAGGCTCAACCACTTATTGGGAGGGAGCAACTATTCCACAAAGACATTATGATTTGTACTTCTCAACATTCTTTTTTCCACCAAAATACTGATCACTGTCATTTCATGCCACACTGAACTAATAATAAAACTAAACAACAATAAAAGATGAACAATTTTGTTGTCATTGTATTCTAGTTATGATAGTCTGTATTGTATATAAAAGTTGTGTTCTTTTCTTTTTATGTTATTTGGAGTTAGACTTGACATTTTGACGGAAAAAATTGTCACTTGCAATAGTTAAAAAGAAGGGTTGTGTCTATTCGTTAGTATTTACTCAAATAAATTTTACTATTTGAGAAAATACTTCTTAGAAAAAAATGGAAACAGTCACTTTGTATTACTGGATTAATCTCATCTTGATATTAAGATATTTTAAAATAATATTTAATATTTTAATTTTTAAAATATTCTATCTTAATTAATTTATTTCTTATTTATTTTTATTATTTCTTATATGATAGTGGAACTCTATTATAGTATATATATTCATCCATATTATTATAATAAACTGAAAAACAATTAATATTAATCTTATTTATATCCAATTAATAGAGGAATTTAAATGTGAACAGTTTCAATAATACCTACACTAATTTATTTATTATTTAAAATTCAAGAGACATAAACAAGTTAAATGGGATTGAAGAAAGAAAAAACGAATTGATAAGTAGATTAACAATAATTATGTTTGTTTATACGGTTCCACTATTTATGCCGACATTCACAAATAAAAAGTAAAGAAAAATGAAAAATGAAACGTTAAATAAATTTTTTTTCACGAGGAAGTAAAACTATTTGGGAAGAAAATGTGAGATGAATCAATTACACAGAAAATTTAACTGTTTATGGCAGTAATATATGTTTAAATATTTTAAATGTGATAACTTTTTGCTATTTATATTATTTATAATCATATCAAAATAAGTATATAAAGTAAATTAATTTACTATTTTATTAGTATAAGTTTATATTATTTAAATAAATAATTAAAATAAAATAACATATTTTAATATTTTATTAATCATTATGTTTTATACTATAATAACATAAACATGTAAAATAAAAATATTAAAAGAATAAATTAAATGAGATTAATTAATTTAAATTTTTATATTTAATAAATTAAAAATAAAAATATTTTTTAAATAAATTTATAAAATAATAATAATAATATAAATATTAATAAGAATAAAACATAATATTTAAGGTTTAATTATTAAGATAATCCCTATATTTTCTGACTTTTCTCAATTAGGTTCTTCATGTTTTTTTGTCTTAGGTTTTTACTTTTGAAAAATTGAAGCAAGTAGATTCTTGTTGTTAGTTTCGTATTAACATAAGAGGTGTTACGTGAGCTTGTGGTTTTTTTTTTAATTTTTTAAATATTTTTTAATCATTTTTTTAAAAATAAAAAAAGTGTCACGCTGACATTGTGTCACATAGCAATGACAGTGTGACAAACACAAACTGACACATGACATCTCTTTAACAATGTTAATATAAAATTAACGACAAAGACTTAATTGTTATAATGTTTCAAACAAAAACACAATTGAGACAAAAAAAATTGAATAAACTATTTAAAAAAAGTCACAGAAAAAATTATCTAAACCATTAAACCTAATATTTAATTAAAATTATATTATATGAGTAAAGGTAATTTGATCAATTTATTGAAGGTTTAATAGGTTCGGAGGTCCCTATATTTGTGAGTTCGTTTCAATTGGGTCCTCCAATTTTGGAAGTGATCAATTGGGTCCTTAATTTGGTCAATTTGATTCAATAATAGCCTTTCCGTTAAATACAGTTAACGACGTTAACTTTTTTAATATGTGGCAAGCTGAGGCATCTTGATGGCACTGTTTCAGCTGTATTGGTGGAATTTTAACATTTTTAAATTATTGACAATGGATTCGTCTGTTACTTTGGCTAACAGAGGATTCGTCTATATAACAAAACCATCGTATCTATAATCCTTATCCTTCTCACTGCAACCCCAACCAAGTAAGCATACAACTCTTTCAAAATTTCTATTTTCTCACTATTCTTACTTTCTCTTCTCATGCCATCCATGGACGCCACTTCTTCTTTTTCTTCTTCTGACATCACCACTCTCCACCCCGACATCATTCGATCCCACATCCTTAATCGCCTCGACGGCCCCACCCTCGCCTCCGCATCCTTCGCCACCCTCCACCTCCGTCGTCTCTGCACCGATCACAACCTCTGGCGGACCATCTGCGCCGCCTCCTGGCCCTCTCTCAACCAACCCCATGCCTCTTCCCTCATCGATACCTTCCCCGCTGCCCACCGCTCTGTCTTTTCCCTCCATCCAATACTCCCCTCCTCCCCACCCCAACCCACCGCAGTTGCCGCCGGAGTTTCTATCCGCTGTGGACCTCTACTACAAGGGTAGACCCGTCTTTTCGCGTGTCATCACGACCGAAACCCACAAGGGTTGGTTCCTCTCCTCCCCCTCTGGGTGGAGCTCCTCGACCCCCACGAGGTGGTCCCCACTCCCTTGATATTCGCGAAGTGCGATGAGGAATCTTCTGTGTCGATGCCTCAGTCGGTTACTTTGGCTAACGATGGATTCGTCCGTGGTTAACCCTCTGGAGAAGATAGTTTTTATTTGTTCAGTTTTTTGGAACAGAGAAAAAAGTGAGAAAAAAGATTTATGTATAAACGTCAAATATTACAATTTGGTCATGGATTTATAAAAATAATTTAAAAAACATAGGAGTTGAACCTCAATACAAGGATAAACCCAGAACAAACACTGGATGTCTCCGCTTGCCACAATGTTAAAAAAGTAACATCGTTAACTGCATTTTAACCGGAAAGGCTATATTTGGAATAAACTTGACCAAATTAGGGACCCATTGAATATTCTTCCTAAAATTGAGGACCCTTGAAACGAACCCGCAAATATAGGGACCTCCAAACCTATTAAAACCTTGAATATAGCATTTAATTGTTTTTTTAAAATTTTTATAACACAATTTTTATAGTTTCCTTTATTTCTCTTCACTTTCTACTTATTTCTTTAATTTAAAAAATTCAAACCCACCCACTTTACTCTTCATTTTTATTCCTTTTCTTACTCTTAAATTCACACTGTTATCTAAACACAGCCTAAAAGATAAAACAATAAAATAGGTAAAGAAAAAGAAAATTTAATTTTGAACACTCTGACATAGCAAAAATTCTAAATTGAAAAATATAATTAAAAGTAACCAAATTTATAAATAATTAGAAGTGGATTAAAGCTAAATGATATTATAGAAAGTTGACAAGTAAAACTGGAAGTGCACGAGTAAAGTTGAAGTGAGAAGTTTAGAGTTGGAAAGAAGGTTCCAATTTTGAAAGCATGAGAAAGGGTTGCATCAGTTAATTTGTTGGTTTGTTGAAAAAGCAGTGTTGGGAAACTTAATGGTGGTTTCCAAATTCCAGTTATAGAACCCACCGACCCTGTCGTCTCGAACCAACCAAACACCACAATTTCTCATTACTTGCATAAAGTTGTGACCATAGGCTCTGTATTTTGACCCATATTTCTTGGTTTAGCCCTCTCTCATGCGTTTTGTTTTGACCACAATCTCATAATCTCAACGTCAACTCTGCAACAAATGCTAAACTACAACTTCCTCAAATTCTTCACGTTAATTCCTGCGTTCTTTCCCTCTCCAGCTATTAAATTCCCCAACTAACCCATTTCCTAAAAACCTCCATTTTTTTTCTTCTATCTAACTAAATTATTCATTTCGGAATAATGCTATATTTTTCTATCAATCCCCTTTCTACCTTTATACAAATATAAAAAAATGTTCGAACAGTTAAATGCTCTGATAAATAAAAAATTAGAACAAGTATTCCCTCGATCTCCTTTTTTTTTATCCGAATTAACAAAAGTGGGATAAAATAAATTCAAATTCTTGTCGCACCAAAATAAACAATTATTTCTATATATTTTCAGTATAAAATGTTCTATATGATTAACTAAAAAATATATATTGTGCCATCGGAATGAGTTTTATTGGTGTCCGCCTTTTATATTCAAGTTTTATTTTTAATTTTCTTCTCATTTTTGAAAAGTTAAAAGAAAGTTAAAATTGTCCTTTCTTTGAAAATGTAACATATTTCTTCAATATCACTATCATTATGATGTGACTCCTGTTTACACGAAATGAAAATTCACTTTAGAATAATTCTGAAGATTCTAAAATAACTCTGAAAATCTAAAATAATTTTGAGACCAAGTTTGTAATTCCTGTTTAGCATTTCAGCAGCATATTTGGTAGTGAAAATCTATCTCTCTCTATCTCCCTTCCAATTCCAGTGTTTCCAGACAATAGTAATTTTCTTTAAAATTAAATTCAATTGCATACAGCGTAACAAATTTTAAATAATATTCATTTTTTTCGAGACAACAAACAATCTTCTATAATCCTACAAATAAATCTTTGTTGATAAAAAGTTTTTCAGCATTAAACATTTAAAGTTATATTTTAATTTTTTATTGAAACCGAGAAAACAAAAATATTTCAAATATTCAATTTCACACGGTGCGTTTGACGGATAAAAAAAATGATGCTTTACTATATAAAGAAAAAATTATTAAAAAATGAAAAAAAGTTGACAATTTATCATATAAAAAAATGCAGTAGATTCTCTACGTAAAAAGATGTTTATTGATGAAAAGAGATTAAGAAATTTATTAAAAATAAGAAAATTTAATATTTTTTACTTTATTATTTTGGTGTACCAAAATCGTGAAACCTCAACTAACATATTTAAGAAGCGGGAATACAAATTAAAAAATCCAGTGGCATTAAATGTGAAAGATTAATTATTAAGACATGAAGTTTTTAGAAATAAGGATACGGGTAAATAACCGTGAAATTGACGTAAATAGCCAAAATTAAGGTCTTAGGAGACAGGGAGGAATCGAGGTTCCTTTAGAAGAGCCAAAATCAAACCCGATGAATGAATAAATCCCTCTGTTTCCTTCGCCTGGTCATCCAACAGGGATCATTGCTTAAATCTCTTTCTCTTCTTCCTTCAACCCATCTTTTCCATTTTTTATCTCATTCCCCTGTCTCAATACACATATATAAATAACCCACACACAATCAAATTCCCATCACATTCTTCCACTTCAACTCAATTCAACCCATTATTCTCATCTTCTTTACAATGGCTGGAATTGGCTTTGAGGACCTGCTTCCTGTCATGGCCAACAAGCTTGGTGGGGAGGGGCTTATGAAGGAGCTCTGCAACGGGTTTGAGCTGCTGGTGGACAAAGAAAAAGGGGTCATAACGTTGGAGAGTTTGAGGGAGAAAGCTGCACTCTTGGGGCTGCAGGACTTGAAAGAGGATGAACTTGTTAGCATGATGACTGAAGGGGATCTTGATGGAGATGGGGCACTCACCCAGATGGAGTTTTGCGTTTTGATGTTCAGGTTGAGCCCTGAATTGATGGAGGAATCCTGGTTTTGGCTTGAAGACGCTCTCCAACACGAACAACTCAACCAACACCACAACAACACCGATAGCAACTCTTCCATTTTAGTAGTGCTTAGTTTTTTGCTTAGGAAAGAATAATTCAATCACAGGGGCTTTCCTCTGCTCTTATTTTCCTGGTTATTTTTTTTGTTTGTTTGTGTTAATTCTTGTACTTTTTATTTTCTTCTTTCGATACGTTTTTCCTCTTTGGAGGGCTAGTATTTGAAAATAATACCGATTTTTTAATATCCTTGCTTTCTTCTATCTTCCTTTTACCTTAATAGCATGGTGTGGTTTTTGTGCTGTTCGTGGTGGCATTAGTAAATGCCCTCACTTTTTTTCTAAATATGAAGTGTCCCAAATCTTTTGCAATCGACCTGTTTTGGTAAATCGTTAATGTGAATTAAGCCATATTGGTGATACACTGGAAAAACTGAGGCGAGTCAGAATCACCAACTAGTAATCAGAGAACTTTTTTATTGTTTAAAAAGTAAATCTAGACCAATAACCAGTGACATATTCAAATTTTATTAGTTAATAATAATGAAATTTTTAGTATTAAAAGGAAGAAAAAGCAGACAAGTATTAAATGTGAACAGAGATATATCTTAATGGGAATTTGAATTTTGGATTCATCAGATTTTATGATATTAACTTCTCTGCTGTTAGACCCAGTTGATTTGTTTCTCAACACATCATTTATTTATCTACTAAAGGTGTAGAGAATTCCTTTTTGAGTTAACCATGTTAACTTATCATTAAAAACAAGATATTAATGTGTTAAACCAATGACTGCAGTTGAAAAAGATCAATTTGTTGACATAGTTACATCAAGGTGTAAAGTTAGACAAGACCGCGTCTCTGCAAGAAATCTTTTTAAAGCAAATTCGTTGATTGAGTTATTATAATGCTGCAAGTCACGGGGAAGATGTAAAATTGTGGAATAATTCACGAGTCTGCGGTTTCAAGTTCATGGAACTTTCGTAGAATCCTGTCTCGAATTCATTACATACACAAGTTGCACACACATAGCCGTTGCAACATGTCAATTTGCATACAATTTCTGATTCTTTAACTTGACTTCAGAACCCCATCTTCATATCCAATTCCTAGCAATTTTTATTTTGTTCTGTGTTCTGTACCAACCAGATCTGCCACAAATATAAAACATTCAAAGTGGTCGGCGTTGTTGGGACAATTTCAAACATGAAAAATGTTTGTTCGTTCACGTCCTAATGTAATATCCAACTATGTTATGTATTTAACAAACGAACATGGCTAACAAATCTCACATTTGAGGTAGTTCTCTTAAGCAAGAAGAAACTTTCGTACAGTGTTGTCTATTTTTTTTTTTTGGGGTGTGTTTTTTTCACACAGTGTTTTTTGTTTGGATAAGTCCCCTGATTTTCCTTTTCTCAAATTTGGGGGTAACAAATTCGCTTCATTTGCCCCATTTTTTTATGCCATCAGGAACAGGGGAAAAACTCGTTTTCTTTAAACTATTCATACAAGGAAACTCAAAGATCGCTAAGAAAAGATATGAAGAAAACTCCAAAATGAACAATAAAACTAAAAATATAATATTTAGATCAAAATATTATATTATTAATGCTGAATTTTTAAATTTTTATATGTGTTTCGAAGTCAATGTTTGAAGGTATTAAGGTTCCCTTGCCTAACAAAACGATGCATTTAAACTTGCCCTAACTACGTAATCGATTTTTTTGGTAAAAGAAGATTGAAATTCATTATTAAGAGTGGTTTGTAAGAATGCCTTTTAATATACTAATAAGAAAATTTTTTTTATGTGAATTGGCGTTTTTTTAAATAAATGAATTTATTTTGCATCTTCGGATTCGTGCTTAGATACATTTTTTTAATGCTAAATCACTTTTGAAATCCTTAATTAAGCTAAAATAAAGATATTTAGTAATTTGATTTTTAAATTGAGAAAAACAAGAATTTTAAATAAGTTAGTGTCAATAAAAATGAAAAAAAAAACTAATAATCTATTTAAACCGGTCTCTCACACTATGTTTACATCAGTACAATCTGTTCATGTGGGTTTGCGAATGATGAAATGAAACGAAATGATTGTTCGTTTTGAGGGATTAGCGAAGACGGATTTACGAAGATTGCGAGTGTTGTAATAATGTTATATTATTGCAAAAGAAAACGTTGGATTGCAACGGTCAAAACTTTAATTGCCAACAACGTTCAAATTCATTTTCTTAAATGTTCGAACGGTACATATTTAATGATTTTTATTGTCTTTTATTGATTTTATTATTTCCTAGCTCTATAAATAGAGAGCTCTTTCTCCATTCCAAAACACATCCCAAGTCCGTCTTTTCTGATTCTCCTTTCTTCTTTTCCTTTTCTAAAATTATTCTGGGTTTATTTTAAGATCCTTGCTAGTTCTGAGATCCTCAGAGATATTCTGGAAAGTTCTTGTTGTATCTTGGGGACTTGCGCAATACACCGCGGATAAGTCCTTAAGGATCGTGAATCTACACGCCTCAGGATATATTGTTCGTGATTATGTCATCTTTTATACAACAATCTTAAGGACTAAGGGCTGACATCAACAACTCAATCCTAGAGGATCAAAACTTTGTTTTCAGAACTCAAACAATGTTTGTGAAACCCATAACTTCCGGAGGCTGCCAAGGTGCTCGCAGCAACGATGGCTTCTGATCGTATTTGTAAGGACTGCGGATGAGGACGAAGAAGATGAGGTACTTGAGTAAATTTTCGTATACTTTACCTACAAAGGGAAAAGCACAACCAGGTATTTTCTCGTTTACCAATCTTAAATATTTTTAAACTGTGGGGGTGTAGGTAGTTTTATTTAATTACTTGAAGAAATAAATTTGGCTTTTCACCTAATGATATTGATAATATTCTAAATTTGAAAGTAGAGAATATGTTATTTTGTAT